GGGCGCACACACACACAGACGTGGCTCCTGCTGTCACCCACTGCCGCCTTGTGGGCAAAGCCTTGAGGACAGGCTCGTTCTGCTGGCTGGGATTACATGAGAATTTGGCTGGTTTTTTTCCCCTTCCCAGGGTCTGCACACACCTGCTGACAGAGCCAGAAGGAAGCTGAGGGCACCCTCCAAAACCCAGCACCCCCAGACACCTGCCACAGCCTCTCCACAGCAACCAGAGGAGAGAGTTGGGCAGGGTTGGAATAATAAAGCCCAAATTTTACATGTTTTACTGGCCTCCAGTTTGGCACAGGGTGCCTCAGACTGCAGATCTTCTCCTGACTTATTATTTTTAAGAGGGAGGTTAATCTGAGGGTTCAGACAGAACAGGAGACACCCAGAAGCAGCACTTTGCACCGTTTCTGTAGGCAGGAAAACCCAGGCTGCCATCAAGGGGCTGCTTCTTAACTAGACTTACACTGCTTTGCACGGAGTGTTACCAGCTGCCTTCCTTCCTGCAAAGACCCCATTTCAGCTTAGAATCACAGACTGGTTTGGGTTGGAAGGAACCTCTAAAGGTCACCCAGTCCAACCCCTGCAGGGAGCAGGGACATCCCCAACTAGAGCAGGTTGCTCAGAGCCCCGGCCAACCTCACCTGGAATGGTTCCAGGGATGGGGCAGCGACCACCTCTCTGGGCAGCCTGGGCCAGGGGCTCACCACCCTCACACCAAAGAACTTCTGCCTGCAGCCTCACTGAGTCCTTGGCCATTGGGATTTCCACCAGCTGCAGCTCCAGCCCCCAAACCTTACTCCCCACACGGGCTGGCACCCCCAAAGTTCTCCTCCCTCAAACCCAGCCAGGGGGTTAGCTCCAAAGACCAACAGCGAGCCTTGAAGGAAGAACTTTGTGTTTTCAAACCCTTTTCCTGCAGTTTTGATTTGGTGAGGGGAATATTTGGAGCGACTGCTCCTGCTGCTGTAGCTGAGAGGCCACGGCAGAGGCAGCTCCCCAACCTCCCAGCCTGCACGGAGCTGAAGGCTCCAGCCACAACACCATGCAGTGTCCTCCCCCACCATGCCCGATTGCCTTCATTAAATACATCAAAGGAACCCTGGCCACCTTTGTTTCAGCACCCACGACTGCATTCCAGTATTTAAACCAACCCTTTGCATTCAAGCAGCAGCTTTGGGCAGCTGAGTTCTGAGTGGTTTACAGGCATTCAGGACCTCAGTCCCTCCTCACCCTCACTTGATAGGCCTCGTGTCATTAACTGCCACATTTTCTGGTTGTAAAAACCAAAAACCAGACCCGGCAGGCATGGGGAGGTGATGAGAGCTGCTGCCAAGGCTGGGCTGGCAGCTCTCACCCTGTCCTCTGCCCGACACACTGTTCTCTGGCTCTGCCTGAAGTGGCACCTGAAGCACAAAGATGGTTCTGTGAGCCATCAAGCTCCTGAAAATAAAATAAAGAGCCTTAGAGTGGAAAAATCTCCTCTCAGCCATACGCCAGAGCAGCAGGGACAATGCTGTCATAGAATCACTCAGGTTGGAAAAGATCTTTCAGACCATTGAGCCCAACCATCCCCCAGCACTGCCAGGTCCCCACTGACCCATGTCCCTCATCTCCATGGCTTGGAAACCCCTCCAGGGGGGGGGACTCCACCACTGCCCTGGGCAGCCTGGCACAGCCCTGGGCAACCCTCCAGGGCAAGAAATTGTTCCTCAGCTCCAACCTCAACCTCCCCTGGCGCAACTTGAGGCTGTTTCCTCTTGTCCTGTCACTTGTTCCTCGGGAGCCGAGCCTGAACTACCCCTGGCTACAGGTTCCTGTCAGGGGCTGTGCAGAGCCAGAAGGTCTCCCCTGAGCCTCCTTTGCTCCAGGCTCAGCACCCCCAGCTCCCTCAGCTGCTCCTCCCCACACTTGGCCTCTAGACCCTTCCCCAGCAGCTTCGTTGCCCTTCTCTGACCACGCTCCAGCCCCTCAAGGTCCTTCTGGGAGGAAGGGTCCCAAACCTGACCCCAGGATTCGAGGTGTAGCCTCACCAGCTATGACACAGCTCAATCTCCTGATAAAAAGCTCCATCACAACCTCCTTAACCTGACCCCCAGGACACATCACCCCGGCCCCCTCCATCCTCCTGCCTTCGCAGTCGTCCCCTCGGCACGATCCCATCACATGCTGTCAAAGCTACTCAGGGAGTGGCTGAAGGAGGACATGGAGGAGCTGCTCTAAGAACAGGGTAAGGCTGCAGGGCCGTTATTCCACAGAGCTGGAATTTATGCTCTTTCCTACGTACAGAGTGCTCACAATTTATCAGCAGAGCGTTTTAAGCAAACAGCACTAAACACTTAAAACTCGGCAGCCAGTGGCTAGAGAAGAGCACTTCCAGTTGGGGTTATTGGCATCATCTTTTTCTCCAGCAGAGACGTCCTGTTTGGCAGCTATTAACAGGGTTTGCATTATTTATTAACCTGCACCAGGAATAATTTCCAGCTAGCAGGCAAGTGGACCATTTATTTGGGCCCTGAAGCTTTCTGTCACGTTTCACAACCACCCCGCTGCCGAGGGGCCCATAAAGCAGCTGCAAAAACGAGCACCAGGGTTGGGAGACCCCCCCTCTCGTCATCAGGGGACAAGGGGGGAGATGAAGTGCTACAAAAAAGGGGTGCTGGGGGCACAGGAAGGTGCAACACCCCCCCACCCCCACCCCACGCAGGGTGGTCTGCAGAGAAAAGCAATTCCCAAACTAAATGGTACAGGCTGATGCTTTCCTTCCAATGATAGCTGGCATAAATTCAATTTGCCATGTGGAATACAGGGGGGAGAAAAAAGGGCCATTTTTTAACCATTTCAGATTAAAGTTCCTTGTGTGAGCTCTCCTTGGACAACAGGGATGTGCCCAAACCCCAGGGACAGAACCTGGCTCTGCCCGGGGACGGCGGATGAAGATCTCGCCTCCTTGTCACCACAAACACAAACCACCAGAGCTTCAGCCACCCCCCGGGGGGGGGTCTGGCCGTGGCACCAGGGCACAAAAAAGTGTCTGGAGGAGATGACAGCAGCGATCCCCAGCTCAGCCTGGGCACGCTGCTTCCCACAGCAAACCCACCACGAGGGTCCCTCTGCACCCCACAGCCGTGGCATGGCGCCGGCTTAGCCCGTGACCTTGAAGAAATTATTAACACTTATGGAGTATTTTACCACACCAAATTATCCTTAAATAATGCAGAAAATGGCTTTTCACCTTGGCAGATTGCTTTATTAAGTGTTAGCTCTGTGCTGGAGAGGAGAAGAGGGAACAGAGCTGTGGTGACGTGATGGTCTGAAGACCCCAGGGAAAATGGGACCCAGCCCCAGGTAGAAGTTCTCAGCTTCCACCAGGAGATGTCATTCCCATTTTGAAGGAAGCTTTAAGGAGGGGACATGATCCTTTAACAAGGGGATGTGACATCCTGCACTGAAACAGGGAGGGGGAGGGCAGGGGCTGAGCAGAGCATCCCTCTGCAAACCCTGGAGGAAATGATACATTTGGAGG